TGGTGGAAACAAGTAAGCTGGGCCAGGAAAACCAGATCCACAAGGATGACCCCCAGCGTAGGTGGGTGACCATCGTGAAACAAGAGAAGATGGAGACTGCAAAATTTCAAAGACCAAGCGTGGCCCCAAAGGCCATAGGAGAAGACACCTCCCTCCGCTGTTGCACCTCCCTTAATAATAGTCACAGTGGATAGAGCACTGGCCCTGAAGTCAGGAGGACCTGAGTTCAAATCTGGCCTCAAACCAAACACTTGACACTTACTAGCTGTGTGACCCTGGGCAAGTCACTTAACCCCAGTTGCCTAAAAAAAAATAAATTAATAATAATAATAATAATAATAGTTAACATTTACATAGCACCTACTATGTGCCAGTCACTACAAAACCAAGCGCTTTACAATTTTTAACTCATTTGATCCTCACAATAACCCTGAGAGGCTATGACTTCCATTTCACAAATGAGGAAACTGAGGCAGACAGTGGTTAAGTGGCTTGCCTAAAGTCACACAGTTGGTAAGAGTATGAGGACAGATTTGAACTCAGGTCTTCCTGACTTCAGGCCTGATTCTATCCACTACATCATCTAGCTGCTTAGCTAGGTGTCTGGGGAACACCGCCTATATTGTAAAATTTTTTCAGTTTGCTGGGGGTTTTTTCCACTTTTTTTTGTTGGATAAGATGGCTGTCTGGAAGAAGGGAAGGCGGGGATATGTGTAGGGGGAGGTAAGGAATCTAGGTTATAAAAAAACAAAAAGTACCAACAGAAAATAATTTTTAAAAGAAGCTGATTTGCGGGTACTTGCCCTGGGAGTCCCGAACAACTAGTTTGGGCTCTGAACGGTTATTTCCACCCCCATCCCCAGCTATAGATGTTCATGAGAAAACGTCCTAAAGGCATTCTGGAAAGAGGAAGTGGTTTCAGTTAGGGGTAGTGCTGGCTCACTTATAAGCCTGTACAGCTTATATGGTCAGTCCTTAGCTGTGAATGGGCAGGGCACAAGAGAAACAGAGAGACAAAGCCCACTTTGGGTACGCGTCAGGCTTGCTACTCCCTCGGCCATCTGGGGACACCCAGCAGTAGCCTGAAACTCAGCTCCGGGTCAAGGGAGGGCAGAGCTGTCTAGGGGACTCCCCAGAGTCAGGCTCCGGGTGGCCTGCTGGGCCGGGCGGCTGCCGGGAAGGGTCCCTGTGGGGATCGGGAGCTGTCGGGATGCTCTGCCCAGGAGCCAGGGCCCTGACAGCCTGGGACGATGGACAGACGGGAAGACTCTTGTTCTTGGCATAGAAATTAGAGCAGGTCTGCCAGGGGAGGAGGGGAAGGAGAAAGGGGAGAAGAGGAGAAGGGGAAGGAGGAGCCACACTCTGGGACTAGCCCACGTGGGCCTGCCAGGTGGTAGATGGGATTGCCAGGGTCACCTGTCCCAATGCATCCCCCTTCTCCCCACCTAGGGACTCTCATGGCCAAAACCTGCCCAAGGTGCCCACCCCCTCCTCCATTTGGCAGGAGGGAGCCAGGACACTTTCTAGTTAGAGGCAGTGCAGTACACTGGAAAAAGAACAATAGATTAGGAGTCAGAGAACCTGTGTTCAAATCCTGCTGACTTTGCCACTTACTCCCAGTGTGACCTCGGGCAAGTCACTTAGCCTCAGTTTCCTCATCTGTAAAAGGAGCCTCTGAGGCCCCTTCCAGTCCCGTTTTTAGGGTCCTACTTCTTGGTGCTACGTCAAAGAGTGACTGAGGGCACGTGGCTTCACCGCTTCCTTCCAAGTCCCACCTGCTCACCTGCAGGCAGGAGCCACCTTGGGCACCAGCTGGCTGTGCCCTCCCCCCCAGGGGCCTCTTGCAAGCCGATGCTGCAGAGACATTTGCCCTGGCTCCGTGCCCACCTGCTCCTATACCACATCTTAGATTTCCCTGGGGATGGGAGGGTTTTTAAATTCCAGGCAGCTGTGATATGGGAAAATGGTAGATCATGGAGGAGATGAATTAGGTGGCCTCAGTATGCCAAGCTGTGCCCATCGACATAAAGGGGAGAAGCAGCAGCCCGGGATCAGCAGGGCCCTGAGCTTCGCAGCTCGGGGCAGAAAGGATGCCAGGATTCCAGCTTCCGAGGCCGCCTACGCCAACCCTCCTCCTTTGATAGAAGACAGAACTGAGGCCCAGGGAATTGAAGTGACTTGACCAAAGTCATCCAGGCAGATCTTATGAACCTCTGGGCCTTGAGCAAGTACCTTTCTCTCTCTGGGCCTCAGTTTCCTCCTCTTTAACAATAATTCAACTGGGTCATAGAGCTGGCAGCGACTGTAGCTGGAATGGACCTAGGAGCTCATTTTACAGATGAGGAACCTGAAAGCCAGCGACATGAAGTGATTTGAACCCAGGTCTTTTGACTTCAAACCCAGGGATGTTTCCACTGGGCCACCCAAGCCAAAAGGCCAAGGCAATACCCTAGGGAACCTCAAGAACGCCAGAAATGCCTCTTCTCCTCCGTGTTAGACAGAACTCAACCTGAAAACAGGACTGGATGGACACTCGTCCCCGTTCCCCCTCCAGCTCTGTGACTGGTGGGCCTTAACATCAGTCCTCATATATATATCTAGGGCCCTCTGAATCCTGCCTTGGATCCCACCACTCAAAGCAAGGTCAAATGATCACACATTTTGAGTTGGAAGGGGACTAAGAGGTCATCGGGTCTAAAATACCACCCCCCCCTTTTATAGATGAAGAAATTGAGTCCCGGAAAGATAAGGTGATTGACTCAGGGCTGTGAAGCTAGTTAAGTGTTTGAGGTGGGATTTGAACTTGGGTCATCAAGTTTCAAAGTTCAGCACAAGGCCAAGACTCCTCCCTGCTCCTCCAACCCCTGTGCCTCTCACTGACTCCTCTCCCTCCCCTCAGCTGGCAAAGTTGCCCAGATTCCAGCCGAGCCCACAGTTGGGGAGGGAGCCCGGATGGCTAGTGCTGGGTCCCTCGGAGCTGTATCTTCTGCCTCCCAGGCCTCAAGGTCGGCTGGCTGCCCTCGGCATCTGTTTCCCCTCCGAGGGGAGAAAGCCGGGGTCTTGCCTCTCCTGAATTCCTTAGCATTTCCTCCCACTCCCAGGCCCAGAAACATCTGCTGGTTCAATCAGGGCTCCATGCTGGACTGCGGGCAGGTCACCAGAGCCCAGCCTCAGGTCATCCTGTCCACTCCTCTGCCCCTGGGCCAAAGGCCCCAAAGCAGCCTAGAGGAGGGCCCCAGGAATGGGGAATCTGGTGGCCTCTGCTACTGGGAAAGCTGAGCCTAACCGTCCCCATCAAGGCCAGGCCCTTTTCTCTAGGGCTGCCATGAGCAGCCAAGCCACGCTGTGAAGGGCCCTGGCTCCACAGGGAGGTTCAGAATACACATCACCCCAAGGGCCACCCTTAGCACCTCCTCAGGACACTGGCCTTTTCTTCTCCCGAAGGGTTTACAAAGACTCTCTGAGGAAGTTGGGAAAATGGAGCAGATCTTAATGCCAGCGCCTGTCAGCTGATACTTTCTGCACCATTGTTCAACACCCCGTACCTTGAGACACCTTCAGTCCTAAACAGTCGCTCCCTCCCTCCCAGAGGTGTTGTGCGACAGCGCGGTACAGTGGGAAGAAGGCTGGCTTCGAAGGCAGAGTACGTGGGTTCAAATCCTGACTTTGCCACTTACTGCCTGTGTGACCTCGGACAAGTCACTGAACCCCTCTCAGCCTCAGTTTCCTCACCGGTCAAATGAGGAGGTTGAACTAGGTGGCCCCTGAGACCCCTTTCAGCTCCAGGTCCTCTCATCCCATGCCTCTCCCCAAATCGCTGAGCCAGAGGATCCCACGGCCAAGACGCTAAGACGTGAGACTGACCACTTCCCATTTCTAACCCAGGTGGACAAACTACTTTTCTCACAATAACCTAAGAAAAAATCCCACAAGGAAAATCTTGGGAGAGTTACTGTTCCCAGCTCTCGGGCTCAGAGGAGGCCAAAGACTTTGTCAGGGCAATGCAGCAGGACACACTGAGGCCAAAGGCTCTCCCCCGCTGGACAGAGCCGGCCGACGCTCTGGCTACGGCCCTGGGAGGCTGCGGCACCGTCCAGGACCAGGCCCGAGCTGTCCAGGGAACGCTTCAGGACGTGCCCCAGCCCAGCAGATGCAGGGAAGATACCGAGCCTGGGAGAAAGCCCGCAAGCATCCCCAGGGAGGCTGCCAGGCACCCTTGCTCAGAATCTCCATCCCGACCACTCCCTGGAGCCAGCTGTGGCTCCCAGAGGAAGCAGAGAGGTTCCCGTCTGACACCTGGGCTGGGAAATCCGGCTCAAACCGCTCTCCCACAAAGCAGGTCACCGTCTAAGCCGGGCCATGGCAGATCTCCACGGATCCCGGCAGATCTACTCAGAGACCGACAAAGAGGTCCCTGCTCTTCTTTCTTGGGGAGCTTTGGGGTTCACGCTTGCCATGACACTGAACACACATACAGGGTTTTACAATTCACAGAACAGGAAGAGATTTGGCATGAGAAGAAACCTTGGCAGACAATCCCCTCTTTTTACACACGAGGAAACTGAGGCCCAGAGAGGATAAGTAACTTCCCACGGTCATATAATCAGAGATTTAGTGTTACAAGGGCTGCCAAACACCCCCTGCCTCATTTTTACACATGAGGAAACTGAGGCGTAGCGAGGCTAAGGGACTTCCCCAGGTCAAAGAAAGAGTAAATGACAGGAGGCAGGATTTGGACCCAGTCCCTCTTTGCACTGTACCACCTGCAATACCCTTTGGATTGAAAATTCAGTTAACACTTAGGAAACACCTTCTGAGAGCGAAGCACCCTGGAAGACACTGGAAAAAACAGCACAGTTCCGGGCCTAGCACCCTGGAAGACTCTGGAAAAAACAACACAGTTCCGGGCC